TTACCGAGGTTAATTATCCTCCTGCTCTGCTCTTGCTGCTTCCAGTTTCTAGCAGATGGCATTGCACTGCACGGCGTAGACATACCTGGGGTGTAAAAGTAGCCAGAAGGCTGTTTGCTTTGCCCTGGAGGGCCTTGGTACTTGTCGCCTCTTGAGCCTCTCTCGCTCTTCTTGGCCCCCCCCCAAGCCCAAGCATCGGTGTGTGATGGGCTGTGAGTGGGGCTTCCCCAAAGTCAAAGCTTTGCTGGGGCAGAGAGGAATCCAGATGCAATTCTGGCCTGTCTTCACAGCACTGCAAGTCAGCGGCAGCTGGGAAGTGGCATGTTCTTGTCTAATTAATTATTTCTCAAGGATTAAAAGGCAATGTTTCTTGTTTGGTCTCGGTAATGAATCAATCATTTCTGAGGTACGATGTGTGGACAGACACGGAGAAGCAGCCGGTGTCCTCGGCTGTGCGTGCATGTTGGCATCTGGCTGAGAAGCTCTGTTCTGGGATGGGAAGCAGACGAGCTCTCTGGTTTCACTGTGGGGCCATTCCTCTCCCAAGGGCAGCACAGGAGACTCTCACCACTCCTCAGAAACATCACGGAAACTGCTGACCCTGAAAATACAGAGTAATCTGTCACTTCCAGCATGCCTCCCTTGTCCTCTCCTTCTGGAGCTGTTTCCCAAAGGGGTGACATTAGCTCAGGGCAGAATCTGGTTCACAGAGCCTCTCCATCAGTGTCCTTGGGTCCGCTGCAAAGGCAGAAGCTTTCTCTTCCGTGCTTCGGTATGGTAGCTGCAGTCCGTGGCTCTTGATGGGTGCCCCTCTCCCTTGATCGTTGCCCATGAACAGCACGGGGTGGCCCGTGGCACAGCACACCGAACAAGCCCCTGTGGCCCCCGGCCCCGCATCTGGGGACTGGGAGGAGGTGGGGACTGGGAGGAGGTGGCATATGAATTTGTGTTCTTGCCACATTTCACTTGCGAGAGGGGTCCTCACCGTTGTTGGGGCTGGTAAGGGTAGGGTTTGGGCTACTTTGAAGTGACTGATCAGCTTGAAGCACTCACAGTTGGATGAGGGCAAAGCAGGATTCCTTGTCTGTCTTTATGTGTATTGAGACCCATTTAATATGAATGCCTAATTAACACTTGGGTGAAAAAGAACTATTTGCTAAGAGAGGGACAGTCTTAACAGGCATGCCTGCAGAAACACTTGGTGCTGCCCACATTAGCACTTTTTTTTTTTTAATGAAGACCTTTTTTTTGCTGGTTCTTCACCCAAACGTACTGACCTTTTGGTTTTGAGTGCGCAGTTGGCAGGGTTAGGCTGACTTTGCCCCTTGGGGTCCCCTTTGCCTTTCTCATGCCAGTTGTGCCTATTTCTGACAGAGGAGCCCAGGAGCACCAGTGCATGGGGTCCTGTGTGTGATACCTCCACGTGCCAGTATCTTACCTGTCCCTGTGAGGAAGACACTCAAATTCAAGCTGCCACCCTCTTCCTAAGGGGTATTACCTTGTTCAGTGGCTCAGTCACTGTGGACTCGGGGCAGACAAGGCATTGTGGGTGACTGAGAGAGGCTTTGCTGCCCGCTCTTCTTCATTGCTGCAATCCTTCCTCTGCTGCAAAGTTTTCTTAACTTTTTATGTGTTTATCCCGTAAGCTGAAGATAAAAAGTTCCCACTCACAGGCAAAGAGAACCATGAAAACTGCAAGGGGGGGATGAGGGAAGAGGGAAAGGGTGGCCCCATCAAGGACTGCGCTGGCACCATGAAGGAGCGGCAGCCATAGGAGGAGCCCCCTCTCTCGTAAGTCAAGGGAAACTTTCCATAAGCTACCGACACCCGCCCACC